AAAGTTGCGCATTTTATTTTTAAAGAGGCGACGCAGAGGTTGAATGAAAATTTCATTTCGTTATTGCTTGAAGAGATGGAAAGAGTGAGTGGGTGGCGATCTCTCGCTCTCGCACTCCCACTCTCGCTCTCTCTCTCTCTCTCTTTCCGATTCCGGTCACTGAACTTTGTCCGACTGGACTTTCGTCATGAAAATTTGCATACGTACGCTCGTACGTTCGCCAGATGACGCGACCCCCACTTGTTGGGCGCACTGAAATTGGATATTTTTGGGTGCTTGGCCCGGGAATGACGCGTCAAAAGTGAATTGAATAGGCGTCATTAGGGCAAGCCCCGTCACTGGGCGCCCCATCAGCAAGGAGGGAGAGGGGGGAGGAACTGCAACTGCTGCAACTGGTCTCTTGCGCCTAATTGTGCCATTCTATAGGAATTAATTTTGCATCTTGGCAAAATATGCAGATTTAATTAGTTAATAAGCTCCGTTGGCTTGCAGCTGGCCAGGATTCCTAAGATAACGTGGCGCTCGGCTAATGCGAAACGCTGCGCGTCAAATGGGCGTCGCGCGCAATTAGCGACATATATCAATTACAATACAGAAATAAGAAATCTACACTTATTACGTATACGACTCGGTGGCCCGCTAAAATGTTTACATTATAAATCATTTATTCAAATTACAAATTAAAGCTGCTGCCTCCATTCGCAGCGGACCCGGCGTGTCTTGGTCAGTTATACAGCGGTTCAGTGGCTGGCCAGCGTGGCGGGTCAGCTTGTCGCTAGCCAGTCGCACCACGACGGCGTCTACCCAACAGCTGATCGACGTCTGGCAGCGGGCTCTGAGCAATTGGGCTCTGATTTGTTGCTCCACATGCTTGTTTGGCGCCCGAGTCAAGTTCAAGAATGTCAAGAGGTTCTTTAATGCATTTATTACACACACACACTCACGTCGATATACATGCGGCTTATAACTATGTAAATGCAATTGTGAAACATACTTTGTAGCATTTATTGGATGTTGTTTTTGTTGCTCCTTTTCGTAAATGCAATTTCTTTTCAAAACTGTGTAGGAAACATATTATATATATATGTATATATTATATTCAAATACAATTTTCACTTTGCACTACATTTCCTAATTTAAAATATTGTTAATTTTCAATTTATTTTCGTTTTCTTCATTTTTTCGCAAATATTGTTTTTTCTCAAACTGCATCTAAACACATGTGTTTTATACATGCATAATACAATTGGCCTATTTAGTAATTTCCATGACATTGGCATAACAAGCGCTGGAATACACTTGGCGTGTCATGTTTCATATTCTTATAGTCTACTTTTGTGCGGGGCGACTCGAGTTAGTTAAAAAATTGGCCGCCGTGGCGCAGTGGCGGCGCTAGTGTATCAAAACGATCAAAGCGATCGAACCTCGCATATCAAAGTTGACGAATAATCTCCAAAAATTGTAAGTCAAAATACATTCTTCATATAAAGTACACATACATATATGTATATATCAATAGACAATTAAAAACACTTGTATAAATTGTTTATAGTGTGGATTGTTTCTTCTACAAGACAATAGTATATATTAATGTTTAACTTCTTTGAACTTAACAGCGAAGCAATGCAGGATGTGCTCCTACATCTAACAATCCTAAGGAGGGCATGCATTTCTATGCAAGGAAGCTATAGGCTAATGCCACATACTCAATTATTACAAKTACAATTACATAATTGGAAGTTAACAGAGTTTGATTACAACTTAGTAGAGGTTTTTCCATGTTAATTATAGTTTATTTATCTACTATAGCTGAGGGCTGCTATTGTAATCATTACGGTCTCTTGGCCTATATATTTTGCTTATAAACAAAAATGTACAGTTCTAACAAATTCAAATTCACATTAAAATGGGCTTCCAATAGATACATCGTCTACATAAAGATACAACTACAAGGGTAACGTAGCTCCTATTCAACTATCTAATAGTCACGACTATGCCAAGGGTTTGACAAGGATGCGACAAGGCTCAAGTGGACTAGTCGTTGGGATTTGTGCGGAATGTTTATAAACTTTCTTTTGTCTTATTTACTGTTGTTATTGTTGTGTTATTGGTCGGTTCCGTACTTGTATCTAGCTCTTTGATAAATGGTCTTTCGGTTTATAAAATGTATTACAAATCTCTATTCGAGCTGATTCGTTGGTGCAGTTTATTTTTGGACACGCTTCAGAAAGCATCGTTGAGCTCCACAACTGACATTCGCAGTTCCCCTAAGGGCGGTAGCTACTGCGGCCTCGCCAGCATCTCCAATCCGCCCTCCTCCTCCATTTTGGTAAGGAACTTCGTTACTCGGTACTGCGGCTCCGATTGCCGCACCATATCAATTAGTGCCAATAGCTTCTTAATGCCAATCCATACGCGTGCACCGTTAAACTTGCGGCCAATCACTTGCAGCTCTTCGGGACTGAATAGATCGGAGTCCTCCAGCACTGTAAGCACATGGTCGGGATTGGATATATTGGGGACATGCAGAACGGAGGTGAATGCGGATAGCATTTCCATCTCCTCAAGCACCTGGCGTCTGCTTGAGGTGCACAAGATGAGCAGTTTGCGACCCTTCGGTGGCTGTTTCTTGAGCAGCACCAGCAAGGCCTGCAGTGTTAGGTTGGAGTAGCGCGGTCCGATGGGTCCGTAGTCGAGCAAACGTTCCACATTGTCCACCACAATGCAGCTGAGCGTGGAGCGGTAGGCATCATCGAATATCTTGCGTATGTGCAAGCACTTGGCGGACTCGGTGAAGCCTACCATATCCTCAGGCGAGCACACCTTGACAAATGGAAAGTCACTCATCTTTGCCAGATTGGCGGCCAGCGCCGATTTGCCCGAGTTGGGCGCACCCTCGATGAGCACGGATACCAAGCCGGAGCTTTCCGTTGCCTTCGCCTGTTGCACATACAGCATGCCATCCTCCAGTACACTGGTCACCGGCGGGCCCCAGTTGATGACGCCGCGGGCGAGCATGTTCTCAATCATCTCCTGAGCTGCACCGAATGCGGGCTTGATGTCATTTTCCAAGGCGTGCATAAAGTCGGAGCGCGTTACTTTTAGCTTCTCCATGGCCTCGGGATCTACGTGCACCTTGGCGTCGGCTTTGATTAGGCGATTCATGGCCGTGGACTGAGCAGCACGCACCAGACCCTCGAGCTCAGCGCCGCTGAAGTTCTTTGTGCATGCTGCAATCTCCTTATTGTCCACATCGCTGGCAATCTTATTGAACTCGCGCATTCGCTTTGTGTGTATGTTGAGGATCTGAACGCGTCCCTCTTCGTTGGGCAGGCTAATTTCCATTTGCACCTCCAGGCGGCCGGGCCGAAGCAGCGCTTCATCAATCATATCCCTGCGATTGGTCATGCCAATGACCAGTATGTTGTTCAGCTGTTCCACACCGTCAATCTTAGCCAGCAGCTGATTGACCACGGTGTCATGTACGCCACTGTTACCGGCCACCGAGCCACGTGCCTTGCATATGGCATCGATTTCATCAAAGATGATTATGTGTAGTCCACTGTTCGGGCCTAGGCGCTTCTCCTCCTCCTCTGCGTCGGCAAACAGACGTCGAATGTTGGCCTCCGATTCACCCACATATTTGTCCAGAATCTGTGGCCCATTCACAATCTTGGGCTCACGTGCGTTCAACATGGTGCCAATCTGTCGAGCCATCAAAGTTTTGCCCGTTCCTGGCGGTCCATAGAGCAATATGCCTTTCACATGCTTAATGCCCAGCTGTTCGACCAGCTCGGGTGGGAAGACGCGCGAGGCAAAAGCACGTCGGAAGATGGCATTGAACTCCTTATCCAGGCCACCAATTCCCATTTTGCCAAAGTCCCAGTCGGGATTTATGATGGGGCTTCGTGTAATTTTGCCCTTGGATCTGCCCTGTAGATTGAGCACCGAGTTCTCGGCCTTCTCGAATTGCACCACCGTGTTGCCTAGCACCCGGCCAAATCGTACGTTCCGCGTTTTCGCCTCCTTACCATCCCCTATGGTTCTGGGATCTACAGCCTCCAGCGTCTTGACCGCCAGACCAAGTAATTTCTTGTCCTTGAAGTGAAAGACCAGTGTTTGACCCACCGTCAATGCCATGCCCGCAAACTGCATAATGAATTCCTTGGCCATTTCATCCGAGTCGTAGGGCTCCTGGGTGATGGTCTTCTTTTGCAGAAAGTCCGTTTCGAAGGAGACCGATACAACGATGTCAGAGCTGGCATCGAATCGATAGGGGCGCACATCGATCTCCTGATTGATGGAGAGGGAGGCCCATTTGCGCTGCACCAGAGAAAAACCCACATGTCCACGTGGCAGATCGGCGATCTTCTCCAGCGCAAATATATAATGCTGTCCAGGTCCCGGCGAGATGTCAACATATCTGTTATGCAGCAAATAAAACACAAAACGGTGATTAAATAAGCTTCACTAGTGACGCCCCCATTGAGCTGGCGTCATTTTATGAAATCATTCAAAAAACAAACAAAAATGGAACCCAAACTGACTTTACTTCCTCGGTGAAATCGGCAATATTGACGATAGCCTTGTTTGTCAGAGACAGTTCGTCTGTAGGGCATTTGATGGCCTTCATTTTGTGCGCCATTTCGTTAGCCATTATTGTAGCACAATTTTATTATAATTAGTTTTCTCGCTCAATTTAATATTTACGAGGCGAAATTGTTTCCAAATACTGACTCACCAACAGCTGTTCGCACTGCTGTGCAGCCCTGGTTGCAAAAAAGAGAAACCAGCGCATAATTAGTGTACACACTGGAAACGCTGCTGCATTGGAAGCCTAAACAGCTGATCAGCAGAAAGTGAAATACGAAAACAAAAAGTTGTTTGTATCTTCATTTGCCAGCATAAACCGGCAATACTCGGCTGAGAGGCAAATAATTTGAAAATTAATCATTTCTATCTTCATAGCTTTAAAAAATAGGTTTCTAATATATATTCAGCATAAATAAAGGCTATGGTGTAATAGATATGCATTACAATTATTGCACTTTTGGGGTGTCGCGCTTTGCCAACAGAATTACATTCTCCAAGGTCACGTCGCGCGACACGTAGAACTTGAGGGACGCCTGGTAGCCATTCGCTCGTAAATGCTCCAAACGGCCGTAGTCCAGAACACGTTTGCATTGATAGCCAATAAGTTCGCGCTGCTCACGGCTTAATCTCTGCGTCGGCTCCTGTTGGGGCGGCTCCTCCTGTGTGGCTGCCTCCGCCATGGCCTTGCGCCGCTCGCGGCTAATCCCAGTGCCACACACAGCCCAGCTCACCATCTTGGTGATGATGACAAAGTCTCGTGGTGTGATGCCCGCTGTTTGGAGCCACTTCTTGCCCACGTAGGACCGCCAGGAGCAGCGATGATGGCAGCAGAGGGCAATCAATATGTAGTCGGTATTGCATTTCTCTTTGTCGGCTAACACACAGCGTAGCGTCAAATCTGTGGCAGCGCCACACAAATGTTTCGATAGCGCCACATTGCGCTGGGTACGCTGCAGCTCTGGGAGTTCGGACATCTTGAGGTCCGCAATGTCCGCGCGTATTCGCTGCACCAGCTGCTTATTGGTCAGCTTATTGTCCTTCTTGTGGCGCAGCGAGAGGCGATCCACCAACACCACCTGCGACTTGGCCAACTGCTTCGATTCAAGTGCCGTGGCTAAGTAGAAGGCCAGTTGGCCCTTGCCAGCGCCGAATTCAATGAAGCTAGTGTTGTCAACCAACTGTTGATCTTGCTCGAGTATGCCCAGTAAAGCAGATGTTTGCACCAGATGCTTGCGTGTCTCCGGGCCGTATTCGCTGTGGCTCAGGGGCTCTTCCAGTGATGAATGTTGCAGCTGCAGCTGCTCAATGTTGCCGTTTATATGAGTGTCGTACAGCTGCTTCACTTTGTCTATGACCCTGTAGAACTCTTCATCCTCTAGTTCGTGCAGTTTTAGCTTCTCATATTCACAGATATCTTGAAGGTTGTCCGAGTCCAGTTCCTCGCCTGCATTTATATTTTTGTGTATGTAGGGCAGGTTGCTGATCTGATCTCTTGCATTGCAAATGGTCAAGTGTTTCGCCAGCTTCCGCTTGAACACTGTGTGCTTGGGATCTAGTGGGCAGGGTATGCGCTCTGCGTCAGCATTCTCTGCAGTCCCCTCACTCGGCGGCTCATGTGCTCCACAAAATAAACTGCCCTTGCTCGGTTCCATTTTGCAGTAGCGCTTCTTGCGCTGTACCCAGTGTGCACAATTGGCAGCTACCGGCTGAGCCGGCATTTCACTTGGACTCATCTTGGGTTTCTTAGCGGGAATTGCGTCGGCCATGCCATCTATAAAAATAGTTGCGAAAACTAAATCCTGCACGTGCCTTTGTTTACAATAATAAATGATGGTGGGTAAAGTGTGACCGCATGTGATAAATCATATCATTCCATATATTCAAAAAGAACATATTTGTGCATTTAGCAATAAGTTTGTAAAATCAACATTGATTGTTGAGCAATAATGCATTAACATTTGTAGGTGAATAAGATACGCCGTCTATTTATCTAATTTATTCAAGAACTATTTTTAAATAAATTGTATTTCGCCTTAGGTGGCAACGCTTCGGAGTTAACATCGATAGTTTCAAATAAAGTATCGATAGTTTATATAGCATTTGGTAGACACGGAAAAAAGCCGCGAGGACCAAACGTTTTGGTAAATAATATTTACTGTATCAATTTTTCATTGACGTTAACCGTATTAATAAACTGGTTCCATTAGTACATCAAAATGTAAGTAAAACAGCAGAGAGCGTCTGTACGGGACTGCGTTAACATACAGCCGGCATGCTTGTTGTTGTACCAAACAACTGATAAAAAACAACATTTTTGCAGGGCTCTCGTTAAACCCAAATCAGAGCTCACCCCCGAGGAACTGGCTCGCCAAGAGGAGGAGGAGTTCAACACTGGCCCGCTGTCGGTGCTCACACAGTCGGTGAAGAACAACACACAGGTACTCATCAATTGCCGCAACAACAAAAAGCTGCTGGGCCGCGTCAAGGCGTTCGATCGCCATTGCAACATGGTCCTGGAGAACGTAAAGGAGATGTGGACGGAGTTGCCGCGCACCGGCAAGGGCAAAAAGAAGGTGAAACCCGTCAACAAGGACCGCTTCATATCGAAAATGTTTCTGCGTGGCGATTCTGTAATTCTAGTGCTACGCAATCCATTGGCTACGGCAGCGGGCAAATAGAAGATATCACGTAAAACAAAAGCAACCTCATTCATTCAACTACAACCAATAAAATTAAATTGCAATTTTCTATAATGTCGAACGATGTGAATTCAAATTGTATCTTAAAACTATATGAGGCTCATCAAAGTCGCTCAACGACCGGATAGCTGCTTGCTCAGTATGGGCACATACTCGTCGTATTCCGCCATGAAGAAGGTGCCAGCTATGGGCTGACCCAGGCGATGATGTTCTGCGAATTGTTTGATATGAAACTTGGTCCTGGAGCGGCGACTTTTGTTGCTAACGCGAGTTCCGGAGAATACGAGCTTCTTCGGTTGGGCGTACACTAGAAAGACGTAACGATGCAGACCCGTATCCTTTGGCGGTCCGGCGCCCACATATTCAGCCAGCGCCTCACCCTTGGCTACATTGCTGCCAGGGATATTGACCACCAGCCAGTGCTTGAATTCCCGCAGCTTGGGACTCGCACGGCTCGGCGCATCCGGATCGACCATCGCGAGCGTGTAGTAGGATTCTGGTTCGGCTGGCCACTCCACAGTTGGAGTGTTCTTCACCTGTGAGGGCGTCACAATGGCGCCGTTCATAATCATAAGCCGATCGTCGTAGGTGACCTTCAAGCAGAAGAAAAAAAAATGCAAATTATGCGTATGAAACTTTCTTTTTAACGTTGTGCCACACCTTTAGCATCTGATTGGGTGGCTGGGACACTACATCCGGCACGACGCCTTGCCACTTGAACGCGTCCGTTTCTGGGTTGCATTGCACAGCAGCGAGAACGCAGACCAATGCCACAGACAGTAGTAACATTTTAATTGTTGTGCCGAATGAATTACGCAAGGCTAAACAGAAATTTACTCCGACTATTTATGGGCGTAGATTGTTGTAAACGTGAACTGCTCGCTAGGCAGCTCTGTCCCCAACTGAAACCAGTTCGTCTTGTGGCTGGGCTTATAAAACGCAGCAGCCATTGCTGACGGCAGCTGCGATTGAACATTCGTGGAAATTTGTTTAATAACACATTTTATTTATTTCTTTTTCAACAATGCACGCCAATTGTGTACTTGCCAATTTATCAAAGAAAAAAGAAACCCATACAGAATTTACTTATAATAATAATAATAATAACTCTTATCACTTGCCCGACAGCTGTTTGTACAACTTGGGCACATAATCGTCCCACTGTGCCTGGTAGAAGTTGCCGGCAATGGGATTGCCCAGCTGATATTTGGACGCAAACTTGGCCGTATTGAATTTGCCACGCTTATCGCCGCTAGTCTTGGGAATGCGCGGCTCATTGCAGGACAGCTTCTTCGGCTGCTTGAACACCAGGAACACGTAGCGATGCAGTCCCGTGCCCTGCGGCGGTCCCGAGCCCACGTAGGCGCTGAGCACCTCGCCCTTGTCGATCTGATTGCCGGGCACATTGACCACTAGCCAGTGATGCCATTCGCGGAACTTGGGCTCCTTGCGGCTGGGCGCATCCGGATCAGTTAGCAGCACGGTGTACAGGGCATCCGGCTCAGTTGGCCACTCGAGCTGTGGTGCGGCCTTCACCTGGGTGGGTGTCAGCTCATTGCCACTGTTCGCCTCCACGCCGCCCGCATAGGTTACCTAGCGAATGCCTCACGCTATGAGAGAGCAAATCAATCAACTAACTAGAATCTAGCGAAGCTCACCTTGAGCAGCTGCATCGGTGCCACTTGCAGCACATCGGGCACAATCTTGTGCTTCATAAAGAACTCGGCCATGATTATCGAGCTAGGAATTCAGTAAAATTTCTGGTTGCTTTCAATTTGCCAGACTGACAGTTTGTGAATGTATTTCTGTTCGTTTGGGATAGAAAATATTTACAGTGTATCTGATTTGACAGTTAGCTGAGTTCGTAGTTGAGCTTGAGCTTAATTTATGCATTTCTTTGGCAATCCACTTAAAAACCGGCCAACTTGGTTTGGCTTGGTTCGTTGATTACCTAAAACGACAGCGGCCTCCCCTCAGTCTCGTGGTTGGCCTTGTGCAGCGCGGGCACATCGGTGCTCCACTCGCAGGTGAAGAAATTTCCAGCCAGAGGAAAGCCCAGTTCGTATTGCTTTACGAACGCCTTGGTGCTGAAGTTGTGGCGGCCCTGGTCGCTGTGCTTGGGCACAGGCTCCAGATTGAACTTTAGATAGTCTGGCTGCTTGTAGAGCAGGAACACGTAGCGATGCAGGCCGCTGCCCTTGGCGGGTGTGGCGCCGGTGTAGCCAACGCGCACATCGCCGAGGGCCATTTGTTTTCCGGGTATGTTGACAACCAGCCAATGGAGATACTCATTGGGCTGTGGCGGCACCTTCGAGGGCACGTCCGGATCGGTCAGTATGAGCGTATAGTAGTAATCCTTGCCGGCAATCCAGTTGACCTTCGGCTCATCCCTCACCTGCAAGGCCTGCAGCTGGACGCCTCGATCTGCATTTATATTACCCGGATATGTAACCTGTTTAGCCAGGAGGCGGAGAGACACGACTGAGTGATTGTCTCTATTGTGATTGTCTCCTCTGTTGGAGTTGAACTTACATTGAGAAAGTCTTGCGGGCCGACGGCTATGACATCGGGTATAACGTCCAGGTGCCTGAAGAACTTGCTCACATCTGTGTCCCGTATCTTTCCAGTTTCCGGCAGGCAATGGCCCTTGCCCAGGCACAGCCACAGCCACAGCCACAGCCAGAGGCAGAGCAAGCGAGTGCGATTGGTCCACATTTCGGTTTAAGCATCGATACTGGCCGATATCTGGCTGTGGCAGCGCTTTATGTAGGCGCTCGCACCCCGGCCAACCCAGATTGCATTATTGCTGAAAAACCGGCTGTCTCGGTCTAGGTCTGGTGGCCAGTTTGCCCAGTCTGTCGCTCGACTCGGGCTGTGCTAAAACAGCTGTTGGTCTTTAAGCCCATGGCAAAGTGTCTGACTGGATAAGCATACGGCTGTTATGATTGAATATGCATTTTCGCTAGATTGGGTATATAGGCTGGACGACTAGCTATGTAACACTATAAACTTTGGCTATAAGTATCTATATCCAACTGATCATTACTTGTTACGGCATGTGCATCATCAGCTGTGCATCAATATAGCTAATTTCTATATTACTGAAACTATTTACCTTACCTTTTTATGTTGGGCTGGACTCTATTGTCTTCTTAAAATCTCACCAAATGAAGTTTAGCATAGTTTCAGTTAATATAATTGATAATATATATAATTGAGAACAACTTTCAAAAATCTGATCGATAATGCTTAA